TTTTGGCTCCATCTTCTTCTCTTTTATGCAATCAACCTCCATTTTTGTAAACTCTCGTCAACTTGCTACTACCACTTTTACACTCATAAAAAAACCCAATCAGGCCCATCTTATGTTTTATATTGTTGGTAGTTAAATACTTTCACACAAAAAAATATAATATGAAATGATAAAAACGTAATGACACTTAGTATGAGCATTTTTATTTAAATAAATATAATCTGTTTAAATAAATATTAAGAAAAATAAAATAAAAAATACGAAGTGACACATTATATGTCTTTGACACCATTAAATGATCTAATTACATCAATTTATATATAAAAAAAACTTAATTGATACAAGTAAAAAACATCTAAACTATTCTTACAAAATTTGGGATTAAATAAATAATTTAACTTTTATATAATTATTATTTGTTACTCTTATTTAATATTTGTGCAATTATGATTTATTTATTGATATTTGAGTAGTCAAAAAAATGTAATTATATCTTTTTCACATTTAATACTTGATAATATAATATATATTTTACCATAATTAATATTTAAAAAAAAGTAAAAAGGAAAATATAAATGCAATTATAAGCTTTTTTTTCTTAATATGAATAAAAATTATAAATTTTTTTATATTAGTTGGATATGAGATGAATGCAATACAAGTTTACATATTTTATCTATGGAAATTTTACAAGTTAAATAAGAGAATGAATATAACATTTTNTTCTTAATATGAATAAAAATTATAAATTTTTTTATATTAGTTGGATATGAGATGAATGCAATACAAGTTTACATATTTTATCTATGGAAATTTTACAAGTTAAATAAGAGAATGAATATAACATTTTACTTCGAGAATGAGAGTAGGAAACACACTTACATTGCCCACTATTATAATCTCAGCATAGTTGATCTAATAACATTTCTAATTCTTACATTTGCAGTGATGATTTAATGTTTGTTCTATATTTATTTTTTAGTCATGTGATTTTTATGAATTGTACAATAACACACATGTTATAAATTGATCATCTCTTAGGTAGGTTAAGATTCATCTAACATAAATAACTACATCAAGTCATTTAAAAAAAGGTATAGGGATCATGTTAAGAAGAAAAAAAATAGAATGGAAAAAATTAGTACAAATATAGACATATAGTATTAAATCTTAAATGATTTTATCAAAAGATAAAACATGAGAAGAAAAATATAAAGAATGAATCATTTAATCAATTGATAAATTATATATTTATGATTTTACTTTCATTTCGATCTACAATGTTTATCAAATATCACACGTATATAATATATTAATATGTTTATATTTTAAAAATAACAGGATACGCATACGTGATATATGCATATTGAAAAATATAAAATAATTATTAAAAATATGATAAATATATGATTATTATTGTGTAAATTCAAATTAAAATCATATGTTAAAGTTGTCAACATAAAAAATACAAATTATTATAAGATACCTAAGTGATGATAAGTATAAGTAAAATATCTTAAAGTATCACACGCATATACATGTCAAACACATACATGGTCTAAATTGAAATATCCCATGGACTAGGTCGACCAAAAAGATGGATTGAGACAGTATTTTCAATCTGGAAAATCGAACAGACAGTTCACAGGTCAAGTTAGGTCAGCCCAACTTTATTAAAAAAATTGATGTTCTAACACTTCATATTAACATAGTTCGATTTTAATAGTATAACTCAATCAACTTATGATTGATACAACTCAACCAAAAATTAAAATTGCTCGAATGACAACTTTTTTCAGTTTGTTTTTGTGTAAAAAATTAAAAAATCTCAATTTGTTTTTATGTGATATTAAATCATTTATAACTAAAAAAGAAAGACAAGTTAACCCATTAATTCGACAATTGATAAATTTAACTTATTTTCAATTGGTAGGCTAATCCAATTAAATCCATTTTTGTTGAACCAATATCATACTGAACTTAAATAAATTTATTAAAATAAGAGGTTTTGCAATTAGCCAACAATGAAACTCAACAAACTAATGATACGACTATGTGCAATCACCTGTGCCTGTAACATATCTCATCATCAACGAACCTAGCCACTGATGAAATACATAATAAACACTCCGCAAGCCATGAATCCATGAACGAGGTGAATAAAACATGTAATTCATCACAAAACAACAAAAGCACAATCAAAATTAACATGAGACTGCTCACAAAACCAAAATTTCCAAACCTAACATAATTCCCTTTCCATCATGTGGCAAAATCTAACCCAAACACCTAAAACAAAACTAAGTATGCCTTAAATATAGAGAATCAAACAACCCCCACGTCGTGCCACCAAAACAAAAACCACGTTTTAAAGGGGATTTCACGTTCACTCATTTTGCTGAGTTCATTATCATCGCAATTTGGACGTGGTCCTAGGTAAAGGGGATTTTTAAATACACATTTTTAATGGTTTTTGTTTTATTTTTTATTAGAAATCTCGTTTATTAAATAACATCGTTAATTAATGAGCCGTATAAATTATATTATAAAAAAAGATGAAACAATCTAACAGTTGTTTTAAACTGTTTCTTAATCCCTCATTAATTAGTAATTATGATAATGAATTATGGGTAGAGAAGAGAGGTTAAAATGATGATTAGATTGTAAGACAGAGAATATAGAATGCGATAAGAATGTGTGGTGATGTAGGTTTTGTTGGGAAATCGTAGCCGTCCGTTAACCGCAATTAACGTTAAAAGGGTGGGGCTGATGGAGGCGAGTGTGATCGCGATCAACGGTGATTCGGTGGCCGCGATTTGAGGGGACACGATAATCGTGGCCCAATCATGTGAGTGCTCGTGCATTCCTTCCAACGTGGAGTGGGACCCACCACGTGATGTTTGGGTTCTCATGCGACCTCACTTCATGGCTGTGCACGTGCTCCCTCGTCCCCTCTCATATCTTCTCCCATGCTCCATGTTTCTGTTTAAATATCATCATTAATGTTACATCTTCTACATCAGAATAATCTTTTCAACTTTTAATATATTTCAAAATAATTCAGAGAGATATTTTGGGAATGGAGCCTAACTGACGAAATGAGCTTCTTCTAAAATGGGCCAAGCCCAAGCCAGAAAATAGTGTAAAATGTATAGATTTTAATGGACTTGGACTGACCCAGAGAAGATAGAAGAGCAACATTTGGGCTTCAAACAAAGTATGATTATTGTATTAGGAACTTTACTTGATGGATTACATTAAATAAAACATACTAAAATTATTTGATATTTGTTAATTGTTTTTAACATTTTTTTATATAATCTGGCCTATCAAGATAATATACCATTATACTAAAAGTGTATTTTATGAAGAAGTTATTGATAGCACGATAGTTGGGTAATTTATATTATATTTAAAAAGTAAAATGAATTCGTTTATATTATATTTAAGTTGTTAGGTTAATCCAACTAAAATTACCTTGATATTTATAGTAAATACACGTGTTAATTTTATATTTATTTGTACATTTTTATACTAAAATATGTAATTAATATCTTTTCACTCTAACCTTTTAAGCAATATATCATTTACCTCATTAGGAAGTAAAATATATATTAACATTATAGGATTTGTACCAAGCATTGTACCATATATTAAATCATTTTTTACTGTAATAGATATTTAAAATTGATTTGTTTTTTAGATTATTAATTAATTGCACATTTGAGTAAATGTGGAAGATTTCAACATATTTTTATTCTAATTTTGTTCAAAATAATAATTTTAAACTATTTTGAATTTAAAATTGATCATAAAAAAACAATTTAAAATTGATATCAAACTGACTTTCAAACAATTTTTTTAAATATGAATTAAAATTTAAAATTCAATAAAACTATTTAAATTTGGTATCTATAAACATTTAAACTGTGTTTCTAAGTATAAATTTACATGTAATTCCAATCTAATTATTTTTAATTCGATTTGATTTTTCCCATCCATCTCCACACTAATTTTAGGTAATTTGGGAGTTCGTTGAAGATTAGCATAATTAAAAAAGAACACAATGAAAATAATTAATTTTTCATCAGGGAAAATTATATAAAAAATTAAAATGATATTTTGTTTGGAGAAACTATTCAGTAAGTAAAACATCACTTATATGGATTAATTCACATGGTGTCATCGTCTAGAGGAACTAAATTATTAATTAATTTTACTCAAATTAGCCAGTATTTAATACATCAACACAACATACATATGTTGGCTCAAACAATTTTGATATATAAGAAGAAAAAACTAATCTCAAGTTAGTTGAAGAATTATTTTAATTTCTTCCAGTTTGATCAATGCATTAGAATCTTTTTTTTTTTAATTCTCACACAATTTTATTTCTAGAGAGACTCTCTATCAGATCCAACTTATAGATTATAAGCTCTGGCGTACTGAGTACAGAGAAAGAACAATGTGAATGCAAATTTTATGAGAAGAAATAAAGATTATTACTTTGTTTTAAATCAGAAGAGACATTGTTTCCACAAAACGAAGAATGGTAAATAAAACTTAGATGCAGCTGATCTCAATAAAATAAAGACTGAAGTTTTGAGTTTTCATGCAGAAAGCCATGGGAGATTTTTTGTTTGACTTTTACTAAGTACAATGTAGAAGATTAGGACGCAAGTGTGAACGATGGTGCTTCATAGAAATTAAGTAACTTAATTACTGTTGGGCACAGCACCCAAATCAGAATCTTTGCTTTTTCTATTACAAATCAATATATAAATTTCAACCAGTCGGTTCAAATTATAAATTCCATGGCAATGTATAAGGGAAAGGGTTACAACACAACCTTTTAGGTCTTACGTAAAATCGAAACCAACGTGGGCCTCCTCGTTGTCTTTTTTTTCTCTATTATTGTTTGTGGTCGGAAAGTGAGTGACCCTTTTGTTGTATAAATAGGTAGCTATGGTGCAGCAGAAAACTGCCACTGCTACCATACATCTTCCAATCAAATTATCAAGGAAGGAAAAAAGAAACATTCTTAATGGAGAGCACAAAAGTCGAATCCTACTTTGTTTTCATGAGCTATGATCCTGAATACGAGAGACTTAGAACTCTTGGGTTCTCTTTTCACCTCTTCTCATCCTTTCTTTCATTATAGTAGTAAGAATATATATATATATATATCATCTCACTTCATGCTTTTGTTCTTGCTGCCAGAACCAAGAGAGGGGCACACGAGCTTGATTTGTACCTTAGTACAAAACACGATGAGCTCTTAGCAAGTACTCTAGAGCCAGGAACCTACAAGAAGACATCTTCTTTGGTCATTGTTGATGGTTTTGCAGTAGAAATTACCCAGGATCAGGTAATATATTTCCCTTCCTATGTATTACTCTCTTCTTTTCATATCTTATGTTGGTTCTTCCTGTGTTAATTTGCCATCATTTTCAAAGCAGGCTAATGTGCTCAGATCTGCAAAAGGGGTGAGGGTTGTGGAGAAAAATGAAGAGCTGGTCTAATGTATATATCAGTCTTTTACTGAGAAAAGAACTCCATGGTTTTGCTTAATCGAGTTCTCTCATTGTTCAAAGTTTCTTATTTGTGTAATTTGCAACGAAGATGTGAACTCTCTAGGCAAGTTAACGTGTAATGTGTTAGTGAAAATTAACTAAGGTAGATTATTTGTGTGCATGTTTTCAGTCTTTGAAATTACGTTGAGCATAAAAACGATCATAGTTTGTGATTATTATCTGTGCCACTGCCAGAATACTCTGTGACAGTCTAGGAAAATCATACTGTATCTCACCGGAAAACCCATTTTAAACAAATTTGAAAGCTTTTATTTCTTTCATAATCTGTTTCGACACCTTCACCCACCCAAAAATCTGCATTTTGGGAAGTGGGTTTGAACTTTCTTTCATAATATGATGAACTTTCGAAGTTGATTAATGTTTCTCATAGCATTTCTGGTAATAAAAGATGAAAAGAAAAGCAGACGGAAGTGATGTTAAAAGTTAGAGATGCACTCTTGTTTAACGACAAATGTTATATCTTCTGAAACGTAAAACATGAACAACGTATTCTCCTTTATTATCTTTGATTTACTTTGTTATATTTGATTTACCGTTCCAAACACATATATATTAACCAATTTGGTTAACTATTAAATATGTTTGGAGGTTAGTTATTTTAAATTACTTTAGATAATTTTGTTCATAAGTTTGCTACAAAAAGTTTTCTTTATCTTTTTTTCATATAACTTATTTCCCACCTTCCTTGTGATTCTCTCATAATTTTTAGCACATAATTTAGTTTAGTTATGACAAACAAATTATTAATTCGAGTGGTATTCACCTTAAATATCTGACTTTTAAATTTATAAATAAAATATTATAATTAAAAAAACTTTTACAAATAGTCAAACACATGATTTAAAACTATTAGTTTTCAATAAAAAAAAATGTATAATTTGATTGAATCACGTTGTTTCGATAATTTTAGTTTTATACTTCTCCAATATACTTTTTTGGTGACCAAATTAACTCGATGTTGATACTTTTGTAATAGGACTAACAACCAATTGTTTTTCAATTTGAGTTACAATGTTTTAATTCAGGATTACATGATTAATACAAAATTAATGTAAATATTGTATATTGTGGATTAATTTTACAGAGATGTTCAATCCCATGAATTTCTTTTTTATATCAATTAGGAATTAATGTATTTATTTCCAATGATAATACTTTTATATTTTTAGAATGGTGTGAAGGGATATATGAAAAGTTGTGGATAGAAATGAAAAGGTGAAGATGAAGATGACTAAATTGGAAGTGTTTGAGAAAGTGGAAACAAAAGGTAAAAAAAAATGTAAATGCACAAAAACAAATTACCAAGAGCTGAAGAAATCTATGATAATGAAAACCAAAACTGTAACAAACATCCTTACTTAATTGATCACGATCCTCTTAGCGACCTTATGTTATGAGAATATTTGTGCTATAATACATCCTTTTTATAGTTAAACCAAAATAAAATTAAAAAAATTACATAATGTGTAATAACACTATAAAACTAATCTAAATTATGTCAATTATGTTTGCTAAGTTTGTGTTTTCAACCATTGTCATATGTCTTAATTTTGTTTTTGGATCTTGCATAATCCATTTTGTCTAGAGAATATCTTTCTCGATGTATTTTTGGAGTTCTTGATCATTCTACAATTTTTACTCATACGGTAGCTTTATTCCAATTCTTTGCTTCTATTATCTTTGTAATCATCACTTTCTTAATTTTGTTCTCGATCTCTTCATCTTTTGATAAATTTACTTCAATATTCTCTTTGATATCTTATTCTCGATATTCACAACACATATAAAAATAAAAATAAAATCAGATGTTAAAGTTGATTCTAAACAATTTAGTACAATTTAATCCATAGGAAGTGATTCCTGAAAGAAGAAAGAAGGAGCAAAGTCCATTGATAATTAGGAGAAGTGTAGAATGGAAAGAAGAAGCAAAAGAAAAGTACAAAGGCAAGTTTCCAAGTGTGGAGTAATATTGGTAACAGTAGCTAGTTATGGTAAAGAAAGAGTACGGCCTAGTGTCATAATTTGTTTCCTATTTTCACCAAAGTTCAGAACAAAGCCTGGTCAAGGGGTTATATCATTCACATGCACGCATCACAAACCATACAATTTTTGTTTTTGCCTTCTCACAAATTTACTCTTTAGTCACAGGTCATTCATTGTCTATCACAACAAAAATAATCACATTTTTCTATTATTTAAAGTTAAAGTTTATATCTTTAATTTTATTATATGATAAAATAAAAATATAAAAATAATTAGGAGATAAAAATAAATAAATAAAAGTGGTGATGTATATTGATAGAAGATAGTTCTTTATAAACGAGTGTGGGTAGGGGTCCCTTACATGAATAGTGGTAGGTTAAGAAGAGAATCCTACGAGAAAAGGGAGCTATTTTCTCCATGAATCTTGAATTTATGTAGCATTGGCATGAGCATATGTCTGTATCCTGGGAAGTACAGGGCACTAGGGGGACAAGGGCGTGCACCTACAACCATACTCTCACTTTATTGCGTTTCAACATTCAAATATTCTTCGCCACTCTAATGTTGAACAAAGAAGGGTTAAAAAAGTAGTTACATGTTTTGAATTTTTAGAGGATTAATGGTGTTTTTTATCCTAAACTACTATTGTTGATTTCTATCTTTTTAAACTTTATTCTATTTAATTTTTTTTATCGTGACAAACTATGTCACCATTAAAACATTAAGATCCATGTATGGTGTTTTCAGGTCGACAAAAAAGCTTAATGATCAATCGTGTATCACGTACTGGTAAAGTCAAGAAAATACGTATATTATGTTTCAGGTCAACAAGACATCTGAATAGTTCGATGAAAAATCTAGATAACCTCATAGGATGTCTGGAGAACTTAAATAGCTCAGTGAAAAAGTTTTGATAGTTCGGTAAAGTATTTGAAGAACTTAGATAACTCAGTGAAAAATCCTTATAACTTAGTAAGATGTATGAAGAACTCATATAGCTTGGTGGATGATCGAGGTAGCTCGATAGCACCTTACCGAGCTATCTAGACTTTCTATCGAGCTATTAAGTTCTCACTTTACCAAATTATTAAGATCTTGCCGACTTGAAAAACAATTACATGTGTTTTTTCGGATTGAAGACATGACACAACGTTTACTATCAAACTATCTTGTCGACTTAGAACACAATACACATATCTTAAATGAGTTGGGGATGTGACATACCATTTGCCACGTAAAATAAAACTAATATGTTAATAATGAAGGACTAAATCCTTGACTTAAGAGACAAATATAGAACAAAGCTCAAAAGAAGGACAAAAACAAAAACACGTGATATTTTAAAAAATCATAATTAACTAATTTTTAAAAAATATACTAAGGTCACATGATCGTTCGAAGTGGTAGCAAAATCAATTTTAGATCCAAAAAGTAATTAACTTTCCCTTTATTTTATGTTGCCCCCACGAATTCAAGAGGATCTATTTGAAAATGGTAAAAAAAAACATTGTTTTTCCTAATATGTGTTAGGTTTTTGGATGAAATACACAAAATAGATTCCATAACACTGCTTTTAACTTAAAAACTCAATATATAATAGGTTCACAAGTTTTTTTACTTATATCTCACTCTTTGGAATATGGAAATTTAATATAAGAAACTTTTAAATTTTAGAATTTTTTACTTATTTTATATTATACTCATCTAAACGTGACAAGGATAAAAATTAAAAGTAAAAGTTTTTAACTCAATACATTTAGAAATAAAATTGATAGGACAAGAAAATAAAAAATGAATTTTTTATTTTAAATTTTAAAATAATTGAAGGAAATATATATATAAAAGAATTATAATTTCGCTTATTATGTAACTAATAATAAATCTTCATTATTTTTTATAATATAAAATTTAATAATTGTCAATTTCACCTAATCATAGAAAGTTTTAGTTTTAAATCCGTAATTGTATTTTAATACCAGTAAAGGGAATTTTAGTGTCTATAAGAATCTTATTTAATTCTCTCCCCATTGAGAATGTAGCCTTAAGACGTCCTTGGCTTTTCACGACTTTAAAAGGCGATTAATAGTTTTGAAAAGTAATTAAAAGAGTTCATCCAATAAATGATAAAAAAAAAGTGTAAAAGCGACCACAACAAGTTGCTTAAATCTATACTTTGACCTCAATTTTATGTATCATTAACGAATTAGTTTAAGTAGTATATGTTTAAACCTTTTAGGTTAATGGAAATATATGGAACGAGATGAAATTTATTAAAACGAGAGTGAAACAAAATATAATAAAATATGTATTCTGTTATTTGAATGTTGCAATGAAATAAAACAGTTTTTTTCATTTCATTGTCTTCGTATTTGTATGTTATCTATGATCTAAAAATTTAAAATTATCTTTTGTTCAGAAATTATAGAAAATGTGAGAAGTGAATGTAAAATTTATTTTATAAATTGATTTGATGAAATTAAATTAGATTTAAAGTAAAAATTTTAATATGATATGAAAATCGTTCTTAAATATGTGGTAGGGTTGCTGAGAGAAAAGACGAAGAAGACGAAGTCAAGAAATTAAAGTCATAACTGGGAAAAGACAGTAATCTTGGTGAGAGGAAAATATCGTAGCACAGAACAAGGCTTTCGAAAAACGTTAAGGTGTCTTCAGTTGAACTTTAAATGATGTAAAACTTTTGCACATAAAAAAAGAGAAGGAAAGTATGATTTTTGTTTGTGGGAGAAGTTGCATGCAGGAAGAATAAAGGCAAGAAGTTTGGTATGAGTGTGTGAAGGTGAGAAACATATATGCATAAGGAGCAGCTTACTAACTCCTCCCCCAGGGGCTTCTGTTTTGGATGATTCAAAAGAGAAGCCCTTGAGGGAGAGTCAACAAACAACCCCTTCATTGCTTATTCACTAAACCTTACTTCTTATTTCCTTTTAAGGCTTCGCCAACCAACCCCTTTTATATTGCAAAAAACCAGAAGCTGTGAAAGAATGTCGTTGACTTTTATCATGTGGGACCTCCATATCTTGGCACTTAAAAGTTTTGTGGGAAGATAAGAACAAGAGAGAAGCCATGCATGTGTTGAAAGAATAATCACTAAGATAGGATTGGCCTTGGCAATGAAGAAGGGTAGAAACACAGAATAATATCAGCTTGCAATGCATGCCTCCAAAGCATCTTGTAATAGAATTGCTGTTTGACATTCGAACCTGTCTTGTCTCTGTTTTCCTGTTTCCAAACTCC